CGTGATGTCCTGTGTCTCCTGCTTCTTCCTGTCTTTTGGGAACAGTGAGTCAGCCATGATCGCTCTGCTCTGCCTTTTTGGGGGGGTCAGCATTGCATCCTGGAACGCGCTGGACGTGTTGACTGTCGAACTCTACCCCTCGGACAAGAGGTACTGGGAGTGTGGTGGGGGCAGGGCGGCATGTGAGGCCCCTGAGGGGTGTCTAACCTGCGGCCGGAGGCTGCACGCAGCCCAGGATGGCTGTGAATTCGGCTCAACCCAAACTCGTAAATTTACTTAAAACATGAGATTTTTTTTGTGATTACATGTCACAATGTATTTAATGTGTAGCCCAAGAGAACTCTTATTCTTCCAGTGTGGCCCAGAGACGCCAAAAGGTTGGACACCCTGGCCTAGAGGGTAGGGGAGAAGAGGGGTGAGGAAGGGGGCGCCGAGTGGGAAAAGCATCTTTAGGGGTAAAAGGATACACATTCCCATTGAGTTTCTCCTCTAAGAGCTGGTTAGCTTCTATATTCATCCCTTGAACTCTTAGCCATTAACTTAATTCTCAGTCTCCTAACTCCTTGTCTCCTCCCAACTCATCTATACTCCCTGTGTGCATCCCTTGCCTCTCTGACCTCTGTCCTTCCTCTCCCTCTTGGGCACTGCCTGCCATCTCACCTCTACTTCCCGCGCCCCCCTTACCCCCCACAAACCCTCCCACCCCCTTCCTTTGTCTTTCTTCCGGGCCGGCCCGTCGTGCTGCACTGGGGGACCCCTGAACAGGACCACAGCCTTCGGCTTCCTGAATGCCCTGTGTAAGCTGGCAGCGGTGCTGGGGATCAGCATCTTCACGTCCTTTGTGGGAATCACCAAGGCCGCCCCCATCCTCTTTGCCTCTGCTGCCCTTGCCCTCGGTAGCTCTCTGGCCCTGAAGCTGCCCGAGACCCGGGGGCAGGTGCTGCAGTGAAGGGGGTCTCTGGGGCTTCGGGGGTGGCAGGCACACTGTGAGACCAACAACTCCTTCCCTCTCCCTGCCCTTCCATCCTGGCCCCCAGAGCCCTCACTCCCCACGCCCCTGTGTTTGGTGTCTTAGCCTTGTGTGTGCGTGCGTGCATGTGTGTGACTCTGTGGGCAAGGACTCCAGGGAAGGCTCCTTCATCCGGTTTCGGGATGCAGCTCTACTCCCCACCCTTGACTTTGCACAAGAGAAGGCTTGGTCCCACCCTTCTCCCCCAGTGTTAGTAAGGTGGGCCTTTGCTCTTCTTGGCTCCAGGGGCTTCAGAACAGGCTTCCTGCCTTCTTCCCCCTCATTCCCTCTGCCTAAGCCCTGGGGAAATCATGGGCATGTGGTTATGCTGGGGGCTGGAGCTTGCTGTAGACCATGGACCAAAAGAACTTGAACTTGGAGTGGGAAGGGCCTCGAGTGCTCTCTCATGCCTCCTGTTGGATGCTGGGGGAGTAGCAATAAACCTCAGCCCCCTAGCCTCCACTTCCCTCTCAATTTAGGCTATCAGAAGCCTGAATTTTATGAAATGAGCTTTCTGATTCTTATTTATTTATATATTAAGTTCTGAGGCAGCTCATCAGGACTGTGTGTGTGTGACTGCGTGTGAACACTTATGTGTGTGTGTGTGCCATGGGGCGGGGTGTCACTATACTGTCCTAAAATACAAGCCAAGGGTAATTTCAGCGGACACATATACAACCCTGCCTTCCATAGTACCTCCTGTCATCTGCTTCTGTGCCGGGCCTGGGAGGGAGGAGCCCTGGGCCAGGCTGCGATAAGAGGACCACACTCTAGGGAGATCTGAGGGCACCTTCCCCCCTCTCAAGAAGCACAGGCCTCCTCTGGAGTGAGAGGCTCCACCCGCTATAGCACAGAAAGTAACAGCACAGCTGCCCTCCCACCCCCGACCTGCCCCCTCACAGGCAGGGAGCAGGGGAGGGAAAGAAACCAGGTATATGGTCAAACCAGCAGATCCAAAAGCACAAGGCGCTGGGGCAGGGGCAGGAAGCAGGGGCCCTCCCAGCAACCCATCGACAGTGGAGAGGTTGGGTAGTAAGCTAGGGACCCCTAATGCAGGGACCAGAGCCTCAGTTTTTCCATCTCACCTTTTCCACACAATAGCCCTGTAGGTTGAACTGCCCCCTACCCCACCCTACTCCATGTGGCTGCTTTCTTTGGTGCACCCCTCCCCACCACTGTAGCTGTGACGTGTTGTAGTTTTTAGCTGTTTGTAAAATGTTAAGTTAAAAGGAAAACAGTGAAAACAACAAAAAAAGAAAATCCAAATTCACCCTCCTCACGCTGCGTCTGGTGCCCCCACCCTCTACGGCCACCACTCCCCCCGTTTTGTAACACCGAACCAGGTAGTGACTGTGTAACTCTTCGGTGTCTGTGCTCAAAGGACTGCCTTCTCCTCCAGTGCCCAGTGTATGAGTGTGTGCCCTTTCCTCACCCTTCACTTGCTGGACGCAGCCCTCTCTCCTGCACCCCTGGAGGGGCCCATCCATCTCCCTTGCTCTCCTGGGGAACCCTAAACCCAATTCTGTTGATGTGAAAAATGACATGAAAAATATTGATGAAAAATAAAAACAACCAGTCCTTAAATCCAAAATGGCTGTCTGCTTCTTTGCCTCTCCACTTACGCACATCCAACTCTGTTTTTCCTGCTAGAAGGAAAGATGGTGAGACAGAAAAACAACCCTTTTCTCTCCCGCCCAAGAGCCAGAATAACAGGAGGCATTACACTGAGGTATCCTCAACCAGCCTCTCTACTCTGACCTTCCCATTTCTAGACATGGCCGGCCCGCTCAGTCTCCTAGATCTGAAGACTTGGGGTTATCTCCTACACTCAGCAGCAAAAGAGACATACAAATGGCCAACGGGTATATGAAAAAAATGCTCAATGTAACTAGTAATCGGAAATGCAAATCAAAAAACCATGAGGTATTACCTCAAACCTATCAGATGGCTATTAACAAAAAAATCCCCAAAGACAAAAATTGTTGGCAAAGATGTGGAAAAGTTGAAATTCTTGCACATTTTTTGCTGGGAATGCAAAATGGTGCAGCTGCTGTGGAAAAGAATATGGAGGCTTCTAAAAAAAATTAAAACTAAAACTACCGTATAACCCAGCAGTCCCATTTCCGGGTAATTAACCAAAAGAATTGAAGTCAGGGTCTCGGAGCAGTATTTATAACAACTAAGACGTGGAAATAAGCTAAATGTCCACTGAAAGATGAATAAAGAAAATGTGGTATATACATGTAATGGGATACTATTCAGCCTTTAAAAAAAGGTAAATTCTGCAACATGTAACATGGACGAACCACGAGGATAGTATGCCAAGTCAACTCAGTCACAGAAGGAAAAGTACTGCATGATACTACTTATATGTGTTATCTAAAATGACAAATTCATACAATTAAAGAATGGAACGGTGGTTGCCAGAGGCTGGGCACGGAAATGGGAGTTCCTAATCAGCAGCCATAAAGTCTCAGTTAAACGTGACCACTGAGCTCCAGAGACCAGCTGTGTGACCTGCACCTGCCCTCAGTGATGATGTGTGGTGCCCTGGCTAGGAGGGATCTGATTTATTCTTACCACAATAGAACAAAATGCATGAAATTTTAAAATATTTAAAAACCTCAGAAATTAACACAGGAACTTGGAGTAATGTTTCTTGAGAACAGAAACCAATTTTCTCCAAATACTTTTATCTTTCCTTTTTTAAGTCGTCACCCAAGGACGTTTATTTATTTTACAGAGAGAGACACACATCGATCAGTTGCCTCTTGTATGCATCCCGACTGGGCATCAAACCCACAACCCAGGTTATGTGCCGTGACTGGGAATTAAACCCACAACCTTTTTGGTGTGTGGGACGACACTCCAACCAACTGTGTTGCCAGGCCAGGGCTAAATCCTCCTGCTTTCTCCCTCCTCCAAGTTACATCTTACTTATTTATATATATATTTACATTAAATAGTATTTTGTATTAGTTTCAGATGTACAGCACAGTGGCTAAACACATACTTTACAAAGTATTCCTCTGACATTCCCAGTACTCTTGTCTAGAAAGACACAGATTCCACATTCCATTTTTGTGGAATCAGAATCCTGTCTTTATAACAGAGGGGACCCAGAATCTACATTTTAAACAAGCTCCCTTGGCAATTCTTATTTGTGAGGAAATCTAAAAACCACTCTCTGGGGGTTACCCTAGACTCCCCTGTCACTCTTGTTGATCTCTGTTCTAATTAAGCTATTTTCTGATTCTTTATAGTAGATCTCACATCAACTCCTTCTTTTCCATTATCACAGCTCATTTCTAAGTCAAGGTTCCACTTTTAGTTGTAGCTGATCTGCCTTCAATCTCCTATGCCAACCCACTTAAACACATCAATGCCAGATCAATCTACCCACAATGCTCTTTAGGATACTCTTCCTCAAAACTCGTCAATGACTCCCTACTGCCCAACCAGATGCAGTCTAAACTCTTGAGCCATAAATGGTCAAGAAACATGTTAACCAAACTTTTTTCCTTGCTATTTATGTCTACATTGAGATCATCAGAAATTTGCATATCTAGACCTAAACACTCCTTGGAAATGTGACATCACTTGGAAGGCTCCATCTTCTGTATTCATTTCTCCATCTTTATTCATTTCCTAGGTTATCACCTTTTCCCTGCTTTAGTGTTTTCTTTTTTCCATAGATTTTTCTTACAAATTCAAATCCTTTTGGAAACAGACAGGTCTGACATATTCTGTCAGTATAAAACTCACGTCACTATACCTTAGACACTAGTCACTATACCTTGGTGGGGGCTCCTCCCCTTGCCTGCCACACCTTTCCTTTCCAGTTTAATTCTGAGCTTTCCTTTGAAGATCCACTAAGTCATTTCCCCATGAAGCCTCCCCTAACTACCCTAAGCTACAGGTATCTTTCTTCTCTCAAAAATATTTGTAATAGTGATTCAACACACCATTAATAACACAGCAACACACCTCATATGATAATTTCTTTTAATGTATAGCATTATTTCCAACTCATCAGATTTGGTGGTTCCTTAGTTAGAATTTAACATGAAACGACTATGCAGCTTTTCTTGAGTAATCCAAGGCAAAAGCAGTAGTAATTCTACTGTTTCCTTGGGTTAACTTTGATCTCAAATGAGTTGCTATTTCCAGAGAATAACGTTTGTGCTGGTTGAATGGGGGTCCAGCAGTCCTCATCCCTCGTAAATATTGGCCTACACTTAAGGAAAGGTGGCCCCAGGAGTTCCTCTCACCCAATCCATTGGGCTCCTGGTCCTTGCTCTCTTGGGGTTCAGGAGGTTCCTCGAGTTTTCTTGCTCCCACCGAGGCAAGGGGGGCTTGTGTCCAGTTGAGGGTTCTCCTTCCACTGGGCAGGGGTCCGCGCCTGTATGGCCAGCGCATGAACTGGCCCAGCTAACTCCTCGGACAGCGCAGCGTGGACCAGCCGGTGCCGCTGTAGGGGGCTCAGTCCCTCGAAGCGAGAGCTCACCACCGCCACGCGGAAATGCGTCTCACTGCCCGGGGGGACCGCGTGGCCGCTGCTCTCGTTACGCAGCTCCAGCACTTCGGGGTTCAGGGCCTGCTCCAACTTCGTGCGAATGGCGGCTTCGATGGGACCTACAATCCCGGATCCCGAGCTGCCCCGGGACAGACAGACGCGGCCGGACATGGAGAACAGACGCTTGACCAGCTGTCCACTCTGCATCGGCTATCGTAGAGACAAGGATCAGCACAATGAGAGTCAGGGCTCCCGTCCGGTGAGAAGCGCGTCCTCCACCCACCTACCCTCCTGGCCAGACGGGACCCCGCCCCTCTCCTCTGTGTGACGTCAGGGAATTTGGCCGCTGCTCGCAGCGCGAGGATTAGAGAAGGCCCGCGCGCGAGGCACGCTCGTTAGTAAGGGGATTCAAGGAATGGGACCGAGGTTGCAAAAGCAAGCATGTGCAACTCCGAGCTTTTGGTTGGGCCAGGGACCCCTCTGAACCCCAAACTAGGCCCTCTCTACCTTCGGCTCAGCCTTGGCTCAGCAGTCTCAGAATTGGGACACGACTCCGGGCGTTCCAGGCGAAATGCAGTTCTGTCGTCCTGAGTGAGGCACGCTGGGAAATGTAGTCCTCGCTACGCAATAGTAGACTGGGCAGGCGCTATGTGATGCCCCGAGGGTTCACGGGAATTGTAGTCTGATTCTTCCGACTCATGAGGTCTTGGAGACTCGGCAGCAGGGACATGCGACTCCTCTCCACAAAAACCAAAAACCCAAACAACACAACAACAAAAAACAAAACAGAAACAACAAACAAAAACCAAGTAATCCCTGCGCAATTGTGATTGGGATAACTCGATATATTTAATTGCCCATCATGTAGCCCAACTCCTTTATTTTACCTGTAAGAAAATAGAAATCCATTCCATTTATGGAGCGCATATTTGATTGCGTGCAGACCAGGGGAATAAAGGCAGGCTGGGGAATAAAGCAGACACTGTTCTCATGGAGTTGACAGAACACTGGAGAAGATGGACAAGCGAGCGGACAATTGCTAAGTGCTGTGATGGGACTAAGAACAGGATGCCAAGGAGGCGTGTCACTCAGACTTGGAGGCACAGAGAAAACCTCGAATGGCTAGAGCAAACCAAAGGTGTAGAAAGAGAGATCGAGGCAGAGAGAATTCTAGATGTCGTGGCTTCTTTGGGATTTCAATAAAATGAACTAATGAATGACTATAGAGGGCTGGCATCATTATTATACTTGTTGCAAAGATAAATGAAAGCTTTGCAAGCAAGCGGTAAGCTCTTTAGGGCCACCTGTAGTCTTTGTTTCTAATAAAAACATAGCCATAATAATATTTTAGTGAAGGTTTGCCATATCTGGATTAAGACTTTCAGAAGCTTTTAAGTACCTAGAGATTATGGTGGCCACTTCACGTGTAATTAAAACAAAACAAACAATTGTAAACACTAATCTGTAACACGAAGATTGGGATGTCTGACAAAAGACTCATTCTCCCTCCAGCCTGTGATTACTTCGATATTTATTCATTAGAAAAAAATAATTTGTGTTTATTGATCTAAAATTTTCACAAGAGAAATTTATAAATCTTAAGTGTACAGCTTAATGCTACACATGAATATACACATCAAGATACAGAAAATTTCCACCACCTTTGAAGGCTCCAGGAAGTCAATACTACCCCGTCATAGTTTTGTTATTCTTACCTTTCTCACCATAGATTAATTTTGTCTATTCTTGAACTTCATATAAATAGACTCACATAGTATGAATTCATTAGTGCTGCCTTCTTTTGCTCAACATTGTCTGTTAGATTCATCCCTCCATGTGGCAGTAATTTCTTCATTTTCATTGTTGTGTAGTATTGTAGTTATGTGCATATACCACACTCTTGTACATGCTTTTTGTTGAATGCAAATATTCATTTCTGTTTGGGGTACTTTCCAGGAGTGGAGATCATAGGATAAATCCAATGTTATTTTTAAAATTACAAATTCATTTAAAGAGTTTTTAGGATGCCTCTGCTTTGTTGGTGCCAAGTACTGTTCTAAACCCAGAGAGTCAGGCTCTAGAATTTGGGATCTTAAATTAAGGTATTCTGCCTCCTAGTCCAGCGTTGGGCCTTTCGGATTCTAGGCTCTGCTCTAGGTTCTTTGTAGTTACTTTCATTTACTCTAACAACTCTGTTATGGTATGGTATATTATTTTTACTTAATTGACAAGCTTCTATTATATCTTCCATCATTCTGGCTACCACAGTCTACTATTTATAGTTGGCATTTGGGGAGTGGTTGTTGACTAAAGAGAACTATTTTAGAAAAGATGACACTAATTATCTAAGAGTATCGTTTCATTTATTTACACCAAAAACATTTTAACTACCCTATCAAGAGCCAGATAGAGGGAATTAGGGACTCCTGATTCAAAGATGAAGAAGATATGGTCTCTTTCTTGAGGTAGTCACAAAAAGGAAATGAGACCAAGGTCAAAGCTCAGTACAGAGTGATGCTATCATCAGGATGTGAACAAAGAAATCTGAGGCTGTGTGTGTGTGGAGTTGGGAAGGCCTCATGAAGGAAGAGCTGATATCTGGGCTGAAATTGGAAGGATGAGGAGGATGTTGCTGGTCAGAAGGAGGATGAAGAATTCTAGCCAGAGGCAACTGTATGTGCCACGGCAGGGAGCTGTGGAAAGGCCTTGCTCATCCCCTGAATGGTGAGCAGTTCAATACGGAGGAGGCTGGGTGGTGTTGGGGAGAGGTGGAGAGAGGGGAAGGGAGAGGACTGTGGTTGAATGGTAGGATGTAGCTGGAATGCAAAATACATGTTTGATTAGCTAGATTGTTTGGGAAGAAACTCAGTTGCCTTTGGTTAAAACTCCCAGAGGTGTTAAGGAAATAAAATCCAGCCTGGTTGTTAGTGATGGTGTACTACTTCTATAAACGGCCTGCTCTGTTTTATTTTTTAATAGCTCTTGTAAGGATGTTGGGAAAGGACCTCTGGGGAGAAATAGATAGTAATTGAGTGTGGGATAATTTGAAGGACATTGGCCTATCTACACTTCTCTAATAAGGTTTTATAGTTGGATGGAATCTGAAGTATTGTCTAAATGATCTCTGTCTCTCACAGAGGGAGAAAGCAACGCCATGTAGGTTAAGTGACTCCATGAAGCCCATCGTCCAGTCAGTGAAGCCGTGTGAATGAAATGGTAAAGAGCGGTCTTTGACTCAGACAGACCTGCCTTCTAATCCTGTCTTAGTAAGTGGCTGTGTGACTTGTGGCAAGTCCTTTAACTCTTTATTTGTGAAACAAGCAATTTTATCTACTTCCTAGGTAGCCCTCAACATAGGACTTTTCACCTTATAAGAGTTCAGTATAATCTCTTTTCCTTTTACTCTCCCCATCAGCACAGGGTCACTGGAATAGAAGTGAAAAAACGCATCAGGGCTCAGAGAGAGGGACGTGAGCCGGTCTCTCAAGCAGGGCCTTTTTGGGTGCCAGAGTTGTGGTGGGCTCTCCACTATCTGGATTCAGACTCTGTATTTCTGAAAATTTGAAACTATCAAAACTTCTAGAGTTGACTGACTTCTTGGGGAGAGACTCACATTAACAGAATACACAAGAAATTTATGAACAGTCCAGAATGCAAATTTGTTAACTTCCAGCAATAGATGCATCTTTTCATAATTGGCTCTCCTCAGCTTCATATTTTTATCTTGTAATAGAATAATCAGAGAGTCGTTAATTGAACACCAAATCTGAGCTTAGAGAGTTGGAGAGTGTTCAGAAATAGTTCACCCAGGCTGTGAGAAAAAGGCTGATGCTTTCACAACTAGGGACCCTCCTGTAACAGCCCAAACTTTTGTGTCTAGCTGACATAGATAGTCATTGTTGGAAAAACACAACACATTTTTACTGTAATTGCTATTTTTAGACTGTAAGTGGACTCTATCTTTCTATTAACACATGTACCTTCTGAAATGATGGTTGGGTGAGAATGATCTTCAGTTATATTCTACTACTGATGAAACACTCCCATCACCTTTGACTGTATTTGAGTGTTTCACAAATCTATACCAGCACTCTCACGAGAGGTAATCTTTACAGATAGCTGATATTAACTAATTTAACTCCCAGAGTTCAGAATTCCTCCATTTTCTAGACACAGCTCATTACTGAGTTCTTTGTACTAGTCTGTATTCTGTTTACCCGTAGCCTGACAGGTAGCATGCATTCTATAAAAAGATGAAGAGAAAACAGAACCTCAGAAAAGGACTCAAGGAATAGAATTTGTCTATTCTTTTCTCTATAGCATTCCGCCTCATGTCCATACAGGATTCTCAGGAAAGGGTGAAAATGGTGTGTAGCGTGTAGAACTCCCAGGGATGGGAAGCCGAGAAGGAAGAAACAGAACTTTCAGGAAAGATTTCTAATGAAAGGCAGGTGGAAGATTAGGAATCTGCAAACAAATCTTCAGGGTCTGCTGCTGAGCTAAGAGAGGATGATGAAGCATTCAAGAGGAGTGTGGAGGAAAAGGCTGAAGAGTTAAGGAAATAACGGGAGATGCTGTCGAGATGCAGGGAGTAGATTACCACTTAGGGACCTGCAAGATTGTTGGTGCAATTCAGGAAAACAGAACAAAGAAAGCAGGGTAGGTATTGTTTGAATAAATTCGCCTTTGTTTAGGTTGAGTAGTTGAGTTGAAATAACCAGTGAGCAGTTTGGTGAAAGGCTCGGAGTTTCGGCAACGAGTTTGGCTGTTATACCTTGTTGACAGCGTGGAAGTGGATAAGACTCTTGGGGGAGAATGAACAATGCAAGGGGTAGGGAGGGAGGCAGAGCTCAGCTGGATACGCGGATTTAGGGATGGGCAGGGGACAACGAGCAGGACAAGGCGAGACGGAGGACATTTTGAAAGCCGAGGGAGCACGTTTGAAGGAGGTATCAGACGCCTCCTGGAGGCCGAGAGGAGGCAGACCAATTTATTGTCGCCCTTAGTCACTCTGGATTCCGCGGAGCGGAGGCGGGTTGGGGTGGGGCGAGGGCACACTGCAGGCCGTGACTACATTGAAGAGAAAGGAAGTTGCCTTAGCAGTATATATTCTTTAGGGGTTTGGCAGTGATGAGACAGAAACGGCAGGACTTGGAGGATAATTTAGAGCTCAAGGAGATAATCGGCCTCCTAATCCCGTACCCCTGAGTGGGAGTAAATGCATCTGCTGGAGGCCCTCTGCAGTCCTTTTGGGTCCTTCTTGGGATTTCTCTTCCAGCTCTAAACTAGAACAAAACAAAACAAAAAAAATCCAACCTACTACCATAAACTGAAAAAATGCCACTCGGAAAAGAAAAGCAGAACAACGTCTTGTTTAAACCTCCCTTTAAAAATCCTGGCATGCAAATAAACGGCTTTAATGTAGGCCCCAGCAATTGGTAGATAGTTAACGGAATCCGTCATTTCCTGGTATTGCCGGATGCAAACGAAAAGTCTGCCTTCTGCTTTCCCACTGGCTATTGGATAGCCAATCGAACTACCTCCCTTTACCCCCTCCCTGTAGCTCTTATAAATTACATCAAATTGGTTATTCTTGACACATCTTTCTCACGGTCAAACAAGGTGTAACTGCTTTATTTTAGCTGTGATGTCAGCACGCGGAAAGCAGGGAGGCAAAGCTCGCGCCAAGGCCAAGTCGCGCTCGTCTCGCGCTGGCCTCCAGTTCCCGGTGGGCCGAGTGCACCGGCTCCTGCGCAAAGGCAACTACGCCGAGCGGGTGGGGGCTGGCGCGCCCGTCTACATGGCGGCGGTGCTGGAGTATCTGACGGCTGAGATCCTGGAGCTGGCGGGTAACGCCGCTCGAGACAACAAGAAGACGCGTATCATCCCTCGCCATTTGCAATTAGCCGTGAGAAATGACGAAGAACTCAACAAGTTACTTGGAGGTGTTACCATTGCTCAGGGTGGCGTCTTACCCAATATCCAGGCTGTCTTGTTGCCCAAGAAAACGGAGAGTCATAAGCCTGGCAAGAACAAGTAATTGGGCTTGACACCACACCAGTCCCACCCCCAAAGGCTCTTTTAAGAGCCACCAAAGTGTCAAATGAAGGGCTGGTAACAGTTAAGTAGCGCCTTAGCTCTTTTTTTGAAAGGTTGGGTGGCTCTAAAAAGAGCCTTTGGTCTTTGGTTTACTCTGTCAGCATTTATTTACTTTTGGCCTTGTGGCTTTCGGTTTTCTTTGGTAGCAGAACGGCCTGGATATTAGGCAAAACGCCACCCTGGGCGATGGTGACTTTGCCCAGCAGCTTGTTAAGCTCTTCGTCGTTGCGAATAGCCAGCTGGAGGTGCCGAGGGATGATGCGCGTCTTCTTGTTGTCTCGGGCGGCGTTACCCGCCAGCTCCAGGATCTCAGCCGTCAGATACTCCAGCACCGCCGCCATGTAGACGGGCGCGCCAGCCCCCACCCGCTCGGCGTAGTTGCCTTTGCGGAGGAGCCGGTGCACTCGGCCCACCGGGAACTGGAGGCCAGCGCGAGACGAGCGCGACTTGGCCTTGGCGCGAGCTTTGCCTCCTTGCTTACCGCGACCGGACATAGCTACAAAATGGAGTTAAAACCCTTAAGACTCACAAGCTTGCAGCCAAACAGGATTGAAAAAGCAGCAATTAGAAAGCCTTTATAAGCTTTCCTAGGGGTGGGGTCAGGAGCACGTTTTTCATTGGTTCTAAATTGGCTCCAGAAATGACCAATAAGATCAAGAGTCGATGTTGTCACGTAACTATTATTGGAAACGCAAGGTTCCTACATGGACCAATGGAAGCGAAATGCTGCTGGAGCCTTAATTTGCATACAGTGGTTATAAAAGGATCAGGCCCACCTATCGTCTTATTTCTATCCTTAGATAGCCAGCGTGTAGTGTTCTGCAATGCCGGAGCCTGCAAAATCCGCTCCTGCGCCCAAAAAGGGTTCTAAGAAGGCGGTTACCAAAGCCCAGAAGAAGGATGGCAAGAAGCGCAAGCGCAGTCGCAAAGAGAGCTATTCCATCTACGTGTACAAGGTGCTCAAGCAAGTGCACCCAGACACTGGCATCTCATCTAAGGCCATGGGCATCATGAACTCCTTCGTCAACGATATTTTCGAGCGCATCGCCGGCGAAGCGTCGCGCCTGGCGCATTACAACAAGCGCTCCACCATCACCTCCCGGGAAATCCAGACGGCCGTGCGCCTGCTGTTACCAGGAGAACTGGCGAAGCACGCGGTGTCCGAGGGCACCAAGGCGGTCACCAAGTACACCAGCTCCAAATGAGTCCCAATACCGGGACGAGCCGCTCGTACGAGTCGCTGGCTGCTTGACTCTAAAGGCTCTTTTCAGAGCCACCCCTCCTAATCACCACAAAGAGCTGTGCACTAATTTTCCTACTCGCCCAGTAAGTTATTCTAGTTGAAGGTCACGGGATACGGGACACGTAGCTTTTTTTTTTTTTTTTTTAATCTTTGACTACGTTCTTGGCGCATGATTGGCTTTGCTCTTTGAATCCAGGACACGTCTTTAACCCTTTCCTGTGCTTTTGTTTTCCTTTGAGTCGGTAAGAAGTTAGAATCTGCTCTCATTCTCCGTTCCTAGACTGGTGTCTTGGTGCCTCTATTGTGTATGTTTCATCAGTATTTTAGGACATAATGGTTTTAACTCTTCACATAAGGAAGAACCCCAGCACACAACTAAGCCCAGGTTCTGCAAACACTGCGTCACAAACGAAGAATTTTGCGGAGAGTTGGATAGCTGCTTTGGTGCCGCTCGCTAGTTATGCGCTGCGGCGTAGTCTTCTGGGGACACCAGCGATTCTGAGCACTTAGGTTGGGGTCCACGCTACCAGGTTCCACCCTTTCTCTGGACTACAGTGACGTTCAACACCACGGGCCGTTCTGAAATTAACAGATGCTGGTTTCCACTGCTCACTTTGGGGCTTTGAAGTCCCTATTTTTTCTCATTTGTGTGGATGATTTTTGCATTTAATTTCCTTAGAACACTCTGGATTCGGGCTACTTCAAGGTACTGGTCATTTAGGTTCGGGCTCTTAAGTCACCTCTTACATTTCCAAGACATCCACTGAAGAATTTGGTCATCTCTTTCCTTCCTGTCCTGGTCCCTCATGATTTTATCTTCCTCCTAGCAGCCATCAGAAATCGGATCGGTTTATTTTGTTTTTGTAGTTTCTATTTTGTTACAGTTTTGCCAGTCCCTTAACAGAGACTGGTGGTCTGGGTTTCCGTTATGTCGTCACCATTATTAAGTACCTGGCACACAGCGGACACTTAAACACTTACTAGTATTTGTTTTCTTAGCGCACCCTTTAATCACTTCCGTGATGGATGGGTGCGGTTCATTTCCATTAGATGTATGTGAAAACAGGATAAAAATGGAAATGTTTTTGGAGCTCCTTCCCCAAGCCTCCGTGGTCAGTTCGGGGCAACAGCTGTGGGGAGGAGGCCCTTATTAAGATTCTTTTTGCTCCAAAGAGGAGGTGGCAATGGTAGGTCTTCTCTGTTACTGTTTTCAATTTAGTGTCTTGGATTTTCATTGTATTGAGAGCACTGGTCACTGGAAAGACCCTTTCCCTTTTCTGAGCCGCCCTTGCCCCCACCCCAACCAGTACTCTGTTCCACACGGAGATGAGGTTTTAACTTACATTTACCAGTCTCATTTGCTTCTCAGGAGACCATGTAAGACAGACCCTGTCAGACAGGCAAGGTTAATAGCCCTTTTATAAATGAGGTTGAAACTGGTCGTGCAGCTGACATTGTCCACCATTTTATCCTCAGATGTGAGGACAACTGCATTTTAGTTTTATTTTGTTGAATCTTTCCATCCAAGCCTTGATTTTGCTGCTAAAGACACTGATGATCTAATTAGTTACTCAATTCTTCTTTTTAACTAAGGAGTCCTGGAGTCTATTGCAGGGGTTTCACGAATCCAAATGGACACCAGACATTTTCATAGACTTAATAAATATTATGTTTCATGTATGTGTGTTTTCAAATGCATGCCAATGGTGCTGTTATTGATGAAGTCACCAGTTAATTTAACATTCTTTTATCTGGAATATATTTAAAGATACATTTAAAATTATGTTATCTGCAGTATATTTTCTAACTAAATGAAGTTAGCATAAAGAACCACTATTGAGTCTGTGGAAAATCTGGGTGCCTCTGACTCAGAGGATGAATATTTATCAGACATCAGCAAACTTCTAGCAGAGTGGTGCACTGAAGCTTGTCATGAGGACTTTATTAATGCTTAGCAATTGAAAAATACATGACAACAAATAAGAAGCATTATAAACAAAATAGAAGAAAAAAGAGTACTTATAAAATTTTAAATTTTAAAAAATTATTTATTTTTAGAGAGAGGAGAAGGGAGGGAGAGAAACATCAATGTGTGGTTACCTCTCTCCCCTCCCCCCTCCCTTCCCCTCCCCGCCAACCCCCCACCCTGTTTGGCATGCAACCCAGACCTGTGGGAATAGAACCACATGCAACCCTTTGGTTTGCAGGCCAGCACTCAATCCACTGAGCCACACCAGCCAGGGCTGAAATTTTAGTTAACACCCACAGAGCACTTACTATGTGCCAGCTAATGTTCTAGATCCTTTACACATATTGATTCATTTAATCCTCACAAGAGCCTCATGAAGTAGTTACCGTTACTGTCTACCATTTTATAGATGAGGAGACTGGGGCACAGAGACGCTTCTGCTCAGAAACTCCCCAGAGAGTAAACCGCTAGTTAAGTGTTTAAGTGCCTTGAGGAAGTAAGGCAACTGTCTGAAAGCCTGGGTCTCTCTCTGGATTTGGGGGGTGGGGTGGGGGCAGAATATCTATGGTTTAAAATTAAAATCAAAAGAAATGTCACCTGCTTTATTCTCTTCAGGATACACCCTGAATACATATCTATGGTGGTGGTGGCGGCGGCCTTGAGGATGGGATGGGGGCCTCTGGTTCTCCACCCCAGAGGCCACAGCTCAACTCAGTTTAGTTTGTCCTGCAGAGGTAGGTTCCTCAGCTGGAATCCCTTCTCTAACATTAGAGAACCTTAGTTGCTGGTTACAGGCTCCTCCTGGGCATGGTGTACAAGGAAAGAAGTTACAGAGTGAGGGAGAGGGTAGAAGTGACAGAGCTTGGTATTTTGACTGCAGAGGGGAGGGAATCAGTAATGGTGAGATGAACCCTCCTAAGGAACCGCTGAGCTCTTCTTTCTCTTGCTCAAACATTTGTAAACATTTGCTGCTGTGGGGGTTAATAACAATAATTGTTAAAATAATTGCTTATACTTATTGAGTACCTGTTTTAAGTTATTATTAATTATTATTATTTTGTTTTTTATTTTTGGGTTCTGTGCCCTCTTTAGAGCATGTGTGTACCTGGTCTTCTGCCAAGTGGTTTACATGCATTGTCTAATTTAATCTTTACAGCCACCATTTAGGACAGTTCCATTATTATCATCCTTATATTGTTATTATTATGATGATGATGACAGTTTCATTATTATCATCCTTATATTATATATAAAGGAGAATGAGTCTTGGAGAGAAGTTAAATACCTTGTCCAGGATCCTTTGGGGAATAAGTCGTGGAACCGCAATCCAACGCTCTCTTTGAAAGAGCTTGATATTCAAGGCCCTAACAATCTGCTTCTGCCTTTTTAAATTTTTCTGCTCTAATTAAAGTGGTCTACTCATCTTCTAATCCTGTTTGTTCTTTCCCTGGTCTGGATTGCACTGCCTCTTCCTAGCTTGGCCAGAGGTTTCTTTCAAGCCAAGGCTGTATCTTCCAGCTCAAATGACACTTCATAACTCACTCTCTACCATGCTCTCCTCTACTTCAAAACAGCAACTTCTTCCTAAGGTATAATTGGCATCAAGAAACTACACATGTTTTAAGTATAATTTGCTAAGCTTCAACATATATCTTTCTATGAAAACATCACTGCCATCAAAATAATGAGCATATCCGTTGCCTCTGCCCCAGAGCGTCCTAGGGTTCTATCCTAATTCTTCTCACCTTCCCCCTTCACCAACATCCTCCTTTGCTCCCATCCCTGTCCTCTGGCCAACACTGGTTGGCTTTATCTAGTTATAGAGAGTTTGCATTTGCTAGAATTTTATGTAAATGGAATCATACACCATGTATCATTTGTGGCTTCTTTCACTCAGCATAATTATTTTGAGAGTCATTCATGTTGTTGTATGCATCAGTTCATTTGTTTTTATTGCTGACTAGTATTCCATTGTGTGGCTATGCTACAATTGTTAATCCATTCATTTGTTCATGGATAGTTGGGGTGTTTCCAGTCCTTCCTCAACTTTTTAATGCTCTCCAACCGTGTCACGGTGGTTGCAGAGATGAACATGATACACCTCTGCCCTCAACTGGGAAGGAACTCAGATGGGGGATTAAACATATACACAAATATTTATTCTGTTCTACTGCGAGAAAGTGGTAGGGTTTCATGTCTGTTTTCCCAGACTCAGAACTTCTCTAATTCAGTGATTTTCAACTGGTGTGCCACAAGAATTTTGAAAATGTGCAATACCTGATTATTTAGTCAGGAGCACTGACCTCTTTTCCTTTAGATTGTCAAATAAAAAAAAGACAACAGCCAACCGTCTGTTGTGAATGAGTCAAAATTATACCTATTTTTTGGTCAGATCTGCAAAAAATATATTTTTTTTTGTGTGCCACAGAATTTCAGTAGTTTGTGTGTGCCAGAAGATGAAAAAGGTTGAAAAATCACTGCTCTAATCCATTCCACCCTGCTGCCATAGCAATCTAAAGCACAGATCCGACCCATCTGCTCACAAGCCTCCAGCGGCCTGCCTCACTGCCTCAGTTTGGCCTTCACAAGAAAAAAAGGAAAAGAAAAATGTAAAACTTTATCAGTAATGCTTATACTGTAGGGTTTCAAAATGTTGTCTGGGGAGCTCTGCTCCTTTAAGAAGGGGACTGTAGGGGCCACGTGGTGGCTGATGAATCTGGCACAGGAAGCAAGCCTGAGGGGCAGCTCTGCTTAGGTTCTAGAAAATGACCCTTAATGGGGAGATTGTCCCTGTGACTAGGCAGACTAGGTTTAACCATTCATTTAATACATATCTACTAATTTGGTAAATATTTATTACCTATTAAGTTCTATGAGAAAGGCTCTCTGGGACCACTCTTCTTCACTGACTCCTACGCATTGTTAGGTATATCGTTGTGTTATTCTTGTATTCAGTAATTGCCGAGTATCTGGTGGATACCAGGCAATCTCCTGGGCAGTGAGGATACAAGGGTAAACAGAATGGTGTGGCTTCTGCCTTCTTGGACTTTTAGTGGCTAGACTCAAAGATGGATATTATACCAGTGATAATAAAGTGTGACCAAGTGTTAAGATGGGAGAGAGTGTAACTTAACATTGGCGCTGATAATGAAGGCCTTTTTGAGGAAGGGACTTTTAGGATGAGATCTAAAGAGGCTGGGAAGAAAGGATGTTCCAGGCAGTTGGGCAACATGGGCAAAGGCCTGAAGGAGCGTGAAAGACAGCAAGCTCAGGGAGACAGGAGGAACTGCACGAAGTCTAGTATGTGCCCTTTTGAGGGAGGATTCAGAGGCCAGGGTTTTTGGGTCCCTCAGCCAACCCTGACCACCTACAGATCAGAATCTAGGGGGGAATTGTAAAGATAAATTAATCCTGGAAGAACTGCTAAAACAGAGCGCATGCTTGTTAGAACCTGAGGAAAATGCCATCTGTTGGTCTGGGGGGGAGGGGCGGGGGTGGTGGTGGTAGGGCACACGAGGAAGCTTCACAGGCTGAACTCTGCAGACTAAACAATGCACTGACGCAGTAGGGGAATTTATCTGTTAAGAAGAAAGGGTTTTGCTAAGTCATGGGAGTAGTGGGGAATTTCAGATGTTGGGCAGCCCAGAACAAACTTGTGCAGCTAGAGGAATAGTTAATGAACATCTAATTAAGAACCAGGGAAGATTTATAATTTAGGAATTGTAAGGAGGTTTACCTTTATAATTTTGTCTTATTTTTTCTGAATAGCTAATTTTTTGAAAAAGATTTTATTTTTAGATAGGGGAAGGGAGGCAGGGAAACATCAATGTGTGGTTGCCTCTCCAGCACTCCCTACTGGGGTCTTGGCCCACAAGCCAGGCATGTATCCTGATTGGGAATTGAACTGGTGACCCTTTGGTTTGCAGGTTGGCACTCAATCCACTGAGCTACACCAGCCAGGGATTGAGTAGCTAATTATAGAATAAAACTTCTCCATTGTTTGTTCTGGATCAGACACTATGCCTGCCACTTTGTGAGAATTGTATCTTTATATATCTCCAAACACTATCACCAAGCAGAGCCTGTTATCCACATTTTACAGGTGAGATTAAGCATCTTGCCAAAGTTGCGGAGGTAGTAAGAGGCAGAGCCAGGACTCAAACTCAAGCCTGTGGCATTGTACTCAGTCTCTGCTTCTCTGTACTATGACACATGGGCATAAGTTTCATTCTGAAGGCAGTGGGGTGGAGGGCATAGAGATTGTAAAGCCTGTGCAGAAGCGACAAGCTCAGCTCTGGCTTGTGGGGAGGTTTTCTCCACTTGATGGTAGTGGAGTCAGGCGGGGAGTGGGTAAGCAGGCAGAGAAGATTCCAGTGAAGCAACAAAGCCCTCAAGCCTGTGCATTATGAACTTGCTGTCACTTTCCTTCTTAGCTTCCAGAATGGGCTCTTCGCTTGGTGTTTTCTACTTAAGAATATGAACTTGGGAGTCCTAGCACTTTGGTCAGAATCTCTGGCCCTTGCGCTTGTTAGCTGTGGGAGCTTTGGCAAAATACTCCAAGCTCCCTTGTCTGTAAAGTGAGAATGATAAATGCCCGCCTGCCTTACAGGGTTGTCATGGTGATTAAAAGAGAGATGAAATATGAAGTATAGTTAGAAGTGACTGAGTTTAATGAACATGAGTGTTATAGGGTGAAATGCTCACTCTCTCTGACTCCATCTTAACTCTAGCCTGCCTTTCCACCATGGCCTTCAGGCAAACAGCTTCTGCTACATAGAGGAATTCTGCTCGAGACTTGAGCTTCTTGGCAAAGATTTGCAGGAGCCTCAAGACTGGACTCAGATCAGCAGGCATCACTGGACCAGGAACAAAGAGATTTTTAGAAATTTTGCATTCTTCCTTAGATCCCTGTTGGTGCCCAGGTGTCGCATACCTCTTGCTCCACCCTTCGCTTGATATAAAAGAAGCCTGAATTCTGGGCCCTCCTAAGATGAATTTGTGGAAGCTTTAAGGCCCCCATCTTCTTGAGCTCCTGCCTTCTTGGCCAATAAAACTTTCCTTATTCCAAACCCTGACATTTTGAATATTGGCCTTTAGAAGTGGCGGATCCATGAACCTTGAATCGGTAACAAGTTGTCATCAATATTTCTGAATGTGCACACACCCTCCTTTGGGCATGCCCACTTAAATCTCCTTTTTGAGCAAATTTTCTTTCTCCTAGACTCTAAGCATCCCCAATGAGACTTTCAACCAGGGGAGAAATGGGCAGCAGCATCTTGTAGTGGGCTAATCCCCTAAACCCCAAGGTCTCCTTTTCTCTGACTGTCCAGTGAGCTGATGGCAGCCCACCTTGGATCAAAGCTTTCCTGCAATGTTCCTACCGAGCCAGAGAAGCCCCACTTAGGCTCTCTCCTGTTGCTTCTTCTCTCCTAGGCCCTTCCTTTTTTTACGCTCTCTAGCTTTAATAAATGTACTTGCAAAATTAAAAAACACACACACACAACATTTCTGAACGTCAATGCCTAATGTGGCCCTGTGGATACAACCCTTGCCTCCTTTGGACATAGTCTTTTCTGGTGGTACTTAGCTCTTTCTAGCTATCCTGCTTCTTGGTGTTCTCTCGATCTATTAGCCCAATGAATCCTTGCCCAGGGTTCTTGCCTTGGCCTTCTTTTCTTCTCCCTGACCCCTGGGTAGATTTTATCAAATTTCCTGACTTCTTAAGTATGTGCTGAGGGCTTCTCCTGAGTATCTCCAGCTGAGTCCTTTGCTGAATAGATTAATACCCCTTACTCCTGGTGAATGTGGCCTTCTACATGGATAACAGGAATCTCAACTTCAATGTCAGAAGGGCTTTTATGCATATAATTGGTTCCAAAAGCAATTTTTCCCTGAATTCTCCACCTTAGTGCAATCTTTGGCCATCTCCCGGAGCTCCTTGGGTCAAGGAAAAGCTCCCTCTTCTCTTGCATTCTCCAAGTGCCTACATCACCAAATCTTGTCAAATTTACCTTCTACAGTGACCTCAAATCAATTACTTCATCTACTTTCACACCTAGCCACTGTCTCAGCTGAGGCCACCATCAGCTCTGATTAAAGAACCCAGAGTCCAGTTAACAATACCAATCCTATGGCAGACTTTTCTTAGAACCAGGCTGGACATGATAGGACTTTTTAAGTGAATGTGAATTGCTCTTTGCTTGATTTTCTTTTCTTTAAGCCGTTTCTGAAAGTGGGAATTTACTTATGTACCTGAAACAATCACATTTTGACACTGACATAAAAACAAGATTATGTACTACTTAGCCCTACTTTCAAAGGCGTTCCAAAAGTTTCCTATGAGGCCTAGGAAGTTGGGCCTTCACAAGATAGTGGCAAAAATGTCAACTTTGTCCTGTTGCCAAAAAGGTGTCAGAGCTGTCAGTAATAGGCCTATGGCAATTTGAGGATACCTGAAGGAACTGGAGAACTCCTTATAATCTCCCCAGAATATACTCTCAAGTGAGAACCAGGTGTTGTAGCCTACCTAGGCCGCACAAAAGGGTTAAAAAGTTGGAGAGCCAGCGCCTAGGCAATTACTTCACTACTGACTCTTGCTTGGTTTTGGGAACTGTGACAATGGTTGCCTGGGGTGTTTTTCTTCAGGGCCAGAAGGTAAAGATTAGGGAACTGCCAGTAACCACCTGAGACCTGTGGAAGCTGCCTGATTACGTGGTTGAAGCTGCCTGAAATGGCCTCAGCGGGAAGTTTTCTTCTTGTACCCAGACGATGACAATGTCCAGCCAAGGCAGAGTTCCTCTTCCATTTTCTGTCCTTGCGATGTATGTGGGGCCATGCCCTTGTCTGCGTCTTGCAGGCTTGCCCCCAAAACTACCCCAACAAGCCCTGCTGTCAGCCACCCACCACGTTAAGTGCTGCAGTCCTTCCCGCTGGGGGAGGCGCACTGCTTTGGGGACGCTCCCTAGTGCAATCCTCGCTTGTGCTTGTTGGCTTGGGATCGAGGTCCTGCTAACAAAATCAACTTGGCGTGGTGTTTTGGCTGACACAGGTTTGATTGGGGAACAGATTCTGTTGCCCTCACTTTGTCCGGGGGGCAAATCCCCAAGACATGGCCACTGACAGGTTAAGGCCCTGGTGTTCTGCTCAGGCCTGGTGCTCTGAGGGGTGAGAAATATTGGCTTAGATAGGCTGCAGTTCCTGAGAAAGTGAGTGTGCACACACCTGTTTGCATTGCCTGGTATTTCCTGGGCTCTGCGTGTGGCCCACAGGGGCCCAGTGAAGCCGAGCAGAGGACCCTTCCGAGGTCCCGCGGTCAAGGCCCTGAAGAGAGATCAATGATGCAGACAAGGCCCTACCCTTAAGGGTCTCACCTTTGACAGTAAACAAGGAAAGACCAACCAGGGAGGGCCTCCACTGTCCCACAGTAGCGAGGGACCCGGCCCTAGGCTCCCTAGTACTTCTGCTTCGCTGCCTTCTTTCACCGCTCCCCTTCTGCACCCTATGACCTTCGACTGTTGTGGCAGGAAGAGCAGAGGAGAAAGGCAAAGGCAGGGCATGGCCATTTCCACTAAGCTGGGAGACCCCTGAACTGCCTAAGCTGTGACAGCATAATCTGCAGGCGGTTTTCAAATCTCGGGGCCCCAGGGAGGTCTTGGATATCTTTGGCATTTTGAGTTTTCTCTTTTAAGTCCGATTTAGTATCAGTTCAGGGAGTATGGAACTGCACAAGCTCGGCCACTGATGGCTCTCATGATCTGGAATGTCACGCACTCTTGAGAATTTTGGGCAGCACCTTTGTAAACAAATGTCAATGGGTGAGATGTCCTGTGAAGGTGCCAGCTCCGCCCAGCCCTGAGTCCCTGATGTTTCTGCTTGTAACTCACAAAGTACAGATCCTGAGGATACCATGGTGCATTGTGGGTCTGGGTAGGGAATGAGGCTCTGGGCAGAGATCTAGAGGGCCTGTGCTTGCGTCGGGTGCCGTCACAGTAACATAAGCGCAGCAGACTGGGTGGCTTCAACAAAAAAACCTCATTTTTATCGCAGTTATAGAGACTAAATGTCACAGATCACCATGTTGGCAGGTGTAGTTTCTCCCAAAGAGAGGAAAGAGTGGAGATATGACCATTTCTCAAATGTCCCTTGAAGATGAGGACTGACGCTGCTGAGGAGTCCCCAGAAGGCTTCGGGAAATACGATCACCATCTCCCCCGAGGAGCCCCAGGTTATCCTGGAAGTTGAAAGAGAGACAATTTGATGGCTTCGTGGGTATAGGAAGCACTTCCCTTGTACTGACCACCAAGAAAGGCACCTTGTCTAGCAGGGGTTACACTACAACAGGAATACCAGGAAAAGGCGACACCAATTGGTTTCTGGAGTCCTTCACCTATGAAATAGGCTTGGCGGGGGCTGCCCTCTCGCTGTCCTCACACAGTTGTCCTTCTGCGTTGTCTCTGTCCCCCATCCCCACTTCTCAAGAAGACACCGCTCGTGCTGAGTTGGGGCCCATCCCGATGACCCCATTTTAACTCACTCGCCTCTTTAAAAGTCCCATTTCCAAATGCGGTCACATTCTGTGTTCAACATATGAATGCCCATACCCAGAAAGTGGAGACTTCCCCCTACGGCTCCCCCCGTCCCCCGACCCCCGCCACACCCTCCCTGACCCGCACCCCGACCAGTGCCCGCTGCTCTGGAGATGGGCTCCTCCGCCTGTCATTCAGTCTCAGGGCAGAAACTGCTTTTTTTCGCCCTTCCGGGTTGCCGAAGTTCGCGGAGATTGGGATCCTCTCGTTGGAACTGAAGCCGGAGCTGGTTCTCTCGTGTCTTCCCCATCCCCGGCCTCCATTTGCCCTTCTGGTCTTCTCCCCGGGTGGGGGGGGGGAACATTAACGCATCCGGGCAGCGGCCAGAGGGCGAGAACCGGAGGAAAACAGCTGCGGAATGCGGAAGCCGTGCCTGCGACCTGACTGCGGCAGACGGGGTCCGCTAGGGGGCGGTGCGGGGAGTGGGGGAAGGGACGGGACAGGCGAGGAAAGAAAAGAGAAACTGCGGAGGGGCGGGGACTATTTCGCGCGCACTGCGGTTTTCAATGCGGTCCGATGATCTCGTATATCAGGGGCCCGAGCCGGCCTCGCCAGCACTGAGGCTTGCGTAGTCTGGTCGCAGCAATCATGTCTGGGAGAGGCAAGGGAGGTAAGGGCTTGGGCAAAGGTGGTGCCAAGCGCCATCGCAAGGTCCTGAGGGACAACATCCAGGGTATCACCAAGCCCGCCATCCGCCGTCTTGCTCGGCGAGGGGGAGTGAAACGCATCTCGGGGCTCATTTACGAGGAGACCCGAGGCGTGCTGAAGGTGTTCCTGGAGAACGTGATCCGGGACGCGGTCACCTACACGGAGCACGCCAAGCGCAAGACCGTCACTGCCATGGACGTGGTGTACGCCCTGAAGCGACAGGGACGCACCCTGTACGGCTTCGGCGGTTAGGCCGTTGCTACAGGCTCTTTAGCGTACGGCAATCCCAAAGGCCCTTTTTAGGGCCACCCATATGGGTTTTGAAGGAGCTGGGGCACTTTGTTGCCTCTTGCGGATGGGCCGTTCACACAACGGCCCCCTATGCACGGCCAGCGTCGCATTTCGGGAGGCACTGCTTGTAAATCATCGGCTGTCATATCTCGAACAATTGCAGCTGTGCAGACACGTCGGGACCCGGGTGTTCCTTGACGGGTGAAAGGCGCGCCACAGCAATCCGTGGGCGGATTCAGCTATTCAGGGTAGTGCTTCCTTTACCAGTCAAACTTGGCACTTCTCGAGTCTACGTTCGCATAGGAAACTCCATCAGGGACGCGGGTGCGGGCCTGGGATTGAGGCGGGAATTTACCTTCTCTCCACGTGAGCCACCCCACCCTTCCTCCCGTCTCCCTCGTGTCTCCGGGGCGCGCTTTCTCTTCCCTTTCCCGGCTAGGATGCTGGGGTACCGGCCGCACACGAGGAGGTTCCCCCTTCGCCGTACTTCTGCATCGGGGGCTCCCGTTGTTGACGCGCGGGTGCCGGCAGAGCACTTCTCACAGCTATCTGAACAGGACGTCCTGCTCCATCTTGAAACACTAGGTCGCATCACTCCGTTTTGGGGGCGCGTTGGCGGTCGTAGTACTGAGCTGTGGGGAGTTGAAAGCGGCAAAAGGAGGCCCGGTCAAGCCACCTTCACTGTTAGACTCAAGGCAGCCCCAGACTTGCGCTCCCGAGGTGCCAGTTCTGTCTGCCACGCGATCGTTTTGAGCTTTGTGAATTACCGTTTGGGCTTCCCTTCCCACGTCTGCAGTGAGGGAGCAGGCCAGGTGGCTCCGGGTCCCTGTTCACATTGGACGCTGTTTTGTGCCTTTCACTGCTCACTTGAAAAGCCGCGAGAGCACCTGCAAAATCAAATCCGACCGACAGCCATTCAGAAACCAGGGAAGAGGAATTCAGGCCATTAGATCACAGGTGAACTCATTAGTGCAATTCTAAAACAAGTGGGGTGAGAGCTGGCCAGTGAGTGAAAGGTGTTCTTGGTTTTGAACTGCGTTCTCGTAATTTTCTCTATGGCCGTGGTCTTCAGCTGCCTGCTATAGCCCGCGAACAGGTGGCAGGCTCAATGTAGAAAATGGGAGGCGGTATCTTTAAACAAGCAGAATGGGGTCGAAAGTATCCCAAGTGAAAAACAAGTCCTTTTGTACACCTCGGTTTCAACTTTTAGATGTGTATGAAGGTGCAGTAGGTAGTAATATGAAGTTACATCTGACTGTAGTTTGGGGTCAGAAATCAGAGCTAATGCATGTGTATACAGTATGTGTATACTGTATCTCTACATGTAAGGATCGTGTAGTTTTTTTCTGAAACAATGTAACGAGAAGCAAACCATGGGGGCTCAGGCGTAAGTTCTACCCCCGCCCGGTGGGTGCCATCTTCTGGCCGTGTGAGCCGCAACATTCCCGGGTGTCTCTTCCTCACTGCGTTCAGTGTCTTCATCCATTCAACGGGAATAAAACAAAGGCCCTCTCTCCCTCCCTCCCGGGGTTATTGTGAAATTGAACGAGAGGAGGTGAGTGAAAGATGAGCCATAAGCCACCTAGGAACCCGGGTTATGATTCCTGCCCATGCCACGCAGCCTGGAAGCTGGTGGCGTGTTAAATGTTCTTCAGCAACTTGTGTGTGTGCGTGTGTGTTTTCATGAAAGTGATTGCGTGACAGTGGAAACTTGTGTCAGTGGGAAATGGTGACCCGCCCCCCCCCCCCCACCATTCTTTGGACACCGTTTCTGTAAGTGCCGACTCCGACGAATGTGTAGCTTGTAGAGGAAAGTCACATTTGTATAAGAATCCTAGGAACTGACCTCGGAAGATAACAGGCTCCGACCTTCAAGCGCCCCGGCTACGGGGAGATTGGCTGACCTCCATCCATCCGTGGAGCCAGGACGACGCACGCGGAACCGTCACTTGCCCTACGGGAACGGACCGTGCTCACCTGCACGTAGAGGACTTTTCAAGCCCTTCCCTTGATGTCTCTGTTCTCTTCCCCTCTCCCTCCTCATAAAAGCCTCTGCCTCCACTGAGAGGCGGCGATGGGCTTTGAGACAGGAGAGCCCATCTTCCAGGTGGCCAGCACCTGAAAATAAACCACTTTCCTTTACGTGAACACCTGCCTGTGGAGTATTGGCTTTCGTGGCGGCAGGCAGCCGGACCCGCTTTGGGTTAGGATTGTGATCGGGCCTTACATCCATTGATACGTCCCTATTATTTACATCGTGGGTGCTGATGCTATGAATAGATTTGTGACCGCCCGTAAGGCTCCGTTCTAAGCCCTTTGTCTGTGTGTGGACCGTCCTATCTTTTTTCATCCTCACAGCGACCTGGAAGGGAGCGCCGTTGGGAGGCTGCTCTACACGCGAGGACGTGGAGATCCCGGTCTTTTTCTCTCTGGAGCCTTTTCCCGGTTGTGGGTCAGGAGCCCTGACGCTACCCATAAGGGACCTCAGGCCTTAACCACTCCCCGCTGCCCTTCGTAGCAGTGAGGTGAGGACCCTGGAGTTCTGTTCCCCACCCCCTTTCTCTTCTCTGTCATCCTCCTTCCTCCTGCCTGCCTTTCTTTATGTACTCCACGCTCAGCCCCTGACCGTACTCCCCCACCCTCTACCACATTCCTGGAAACTTCTGTCAGCATGGCTGAATCTGACGTCTTTGGTCATATGAACGCAGACATGCCTCCTCCCCAGATCGTCTGCATCCGGGAACAGATAGGCGTCCCGGGTGGGGGCGCAGGTCCTTGAGCTCTTTTCTCAGTCACTCTCACCAGGAGCAGGCAAAGTCTGGGACCGTGGCCATTCGTGGGCTTTCCAGACGCCCTGTATTTCCGTATTCCGTGACCCTGCCAAGGGACGTTGGAAGTTCCTCCCAGAGGTCCGGTCCAGGCCTGCTCTTGGTCTGTTAACTTCAAGGACCCCAAGAGCCGGGTGGGGGTGGGGGGGGCATCACAGGAGGCCCAGCTCCCTCACTGAAGGCAAACAGCCGAAGGGCCGGTGAACTAGGCCCCTCGTCCAGCATTTCCTGACCAGCTATGGTGTGCCCGGCACTGCTTGGGTGCTGGTGCCACAGAAGTGAACCGGGACAAATCCTCACCCTGGGAGATACTCCCGGCCTGATGGTTGAAGGTAAGGGAGTAGGAGTAGGGAGGGGAGTTAGGATAGGACGGGGTTGTGGGGGCGGGGAGGCAAGGAGGAGGACCCCCAAAAGATGAGGGGGGGAAGAGGACGAAGGGAAGGGGCTGAATCTTGAAGAGCAGGGGGCTCTCAGGGCTGCCAGGGCGGGGCATTCCACACAGAAGAAACAGGAATGTGTGAGGGCCCGGTATACTAGGGGACTGCAGATGTTCCGAGGGGTGAGGGACGTCCCTGGTCCAGCGGGCAGAACGCCCGGAACCTGGGTAGGCTCAGAGATACCGGGAACCAGACGTATATTGAAGTCGTTTCTGTTGGGATATTTTAGATTTCATCACTATCCGTAAATAGCTGGAACTGATCGAACGCTTCTTCTGGAGTGGACATGGCGCTAGGTGCTTTTTAAGAAGCGTCACCTTTAATATTTCCGACAACGGCATTGGCAAGGTGCTACTGTCCCTCGCCGATTTTACGGCGGAAGCGGGGATGAGTGAAGCCCACAGAGGTTTCCTTGCTGAAGTCACGTACCTGTTCTGTGGCATGGTCAAGAGGAGGATTCAGATTTGAACTTGTCTGACTGTGGACTCTCTGCCCGTCATTAACCACCAGTGCTATAAACTGCCGTGCAAAAGAAGGCGGACTTCATTCTGAAGGGAACTGGGAACAAAGTTTCCTAAGCATTTAGGGAAAAAACAACTCTCACGCAGAGTGAGTGGAAGCTTAGCTGCAGGGCAGGGTGTCCATGGATTAAGGGAGGGACCATGGATGGATGAATGGAGGGAGGGAGGGTGACAGAATTGAAAGTCAGAGAGTAGATCTGATAACACTGATCTCATTTGGTGACTCCTGAGATTTGGACAAAGGACAAGAGGAGGGAGCTTCTGCCCTGAACTGGGTAACGGGGTGGGGGGGGTGGGGGGTGGGGGGGGTGGGGGGGGGGGGGGGGGTGGGGGGGGTGGGGGGAGAGGGCGACTGGGGATGGGGGAATGAAGGCATCTTTCATCAAGACGAGAAATATGGAAGGGGAGAAATGGCTTGGGGAAGCGAGATGATGCGGTTTTGGAAATAAGCGGAGTTTGAAGCACCTATCGTCCACCCAGAAGGACCCGGCCACAAGGCAGTTAGAAACACGTTGGTGTAGAGCCCAGGGCAGGGGTCTCAGCAGGAGATACCGATTGGGGAGCACTTGCCAGAGGTGGAGATACGGAAAGCAGAGGGGGATCCGTGACCTCGCTGCTGGAGTTGCAGGGAGGCAAAAGACAAAGGCCCGCACGGGTGGAAACCACGATATTGGTGGGGCTGGCGGAGAAAGAGGAGGAGAACCCGAGAAGGCTGAGATGGGGACCTGGAAAGAAGGGTAAGGAGGACGACCGGGAGAGAGCGTGAACCCAAAGGCCAAATCCTCTGCCGAGGAAGCAAAGGTGTCCGCCAGCAGGGCCACGGTACCCCGTTGTTTCCCTCTACGCAGGCACACGCACCAGTCCCTGCCACCCCAAGGCAGAATTCAGCGTGCGTGCGGACTGTTTTTCACTCGGCGAAAGCAGGGTAGACTTTTCCCGGAACCAAGCTCGCCACATAAGGAGCTAATTATCAGGAGGAAGAGCATTTATGTACGTGGCCTTTCGTTTTCCTTTAGTTCTCATGTGATAGTAGAGAAGTGATTTAAGTACAGAAATCATTAAATGTTAAAACGTGCGTCTTCAATGGCTCCCTTGTACTGAGGAACTCAAGTTTGTGCCAGTCTACCACACAAGTAGAACGATTTGAGAGACTTCTGTGAGGGCAGGTAGGCCTTTACAGTGACAGGAACACAAAATTTCATCCTGTTCTTGGCTGGGTGTCAACAATGTTCCTAAATTTGAGGTTTAGACAGGGCGACTTCCCTGGAAGAAAGCGGGGAGGGGCGGGGGGACGGGGCGGAGGCTGTTAGATGAAAGCAGTGCGAGCTCGGGGCGGGGCAGGCAGAGGACCGACACCTGACACCGGCATCTCAGGTTCCAGGGTCTGCTCAGCTGCTCCCGGGCCTGACATACCGGGCCAGTCTGTGCCAGTCTGTGCCAGTCCGTCCCTTCGAGGTGTGTGCCCTGGGGATGGATGAGACGATAGGTGCAAAGCTGTGCCCTCACACGCCTCCGAGGCCCGGGCCAAGAGATCCAGCCTGCGCTGGGGCCTACGCCGGTAATCAGGCACCCGGGAGAGACCTAGAGACACGCTCTGGGGAGTCGCCGTGATCCGGAAAAGAGGAACATGTGGCAACCTGTAGCAGGCCGGCCACAGTCCCTGCTTCTCCCTTCTTGTGACACATCTCGAGAGGCAAAGGAAGCTTTAAAAAGACGTGGAGAAACCGCGTCTGGGTAGAGTACCCGGAGAGAGAGGCCGCAGGTTTCCGGGCCGAAAACGGTCCGTTGAAGGCCCAGGCTCACCAGTGGCCCATAGGGTGCCTACACACACACACATACTCCCCGCCCCGGGGGTTTTGATTAGGATAAGAGGGTGGGAGGTTGCTACGCAGTTGTGGAGTGAGGCCCGAAGTCTGCCGGAAGTCTGCCGGCCGACCGTGGTGACACAGGAGAACCCGGAACCTGGAAGCGGCAGAAACCCGCGCGTCGGAGGGGACGACTTTCCTCGTCAGCCCGAGCCGCGCCGGGTGGGGGCCATTTCCGGCGGGGGTGAGGAGTGCGCACCCGGTGGCGGGAGAGGTCCCCCGGGTGCACTCCGGGCCACGAATCGCCAGCGTCCCCAGTGACTCGTTCTAGAGGCAGCCCACCTCCGACCCCGGAGCCCCCCCCCCGTTGGAAAAACAAAAAGAAAAAACCCCAGCCCAGGAGAACCCGACCCCGTGTGCGCGAGGCCGCCGAGCACTGTCGGGAACCCCTGTGAGCTTCATTCAGGGTAACAGGCCGGAGGGCGGCCAACGCGAGGGTTCTGCCCTTTTGTGTGGGGAGCCGCACACCGTCTGCACACCTCTAAGCGCCCTCCCTTCCCGGGGGCACGGAGGCCCAGTGGCACAGCCTCTTCCCAGTGATCTCGTGGGTGGCTCTGAAAAGAGCCTTTGGATGCGATGGAACGTCGGACCGAGCGCGCGCTTCTTAGGCCCGCTCCCCGCGGATGCGGCGGGCCAACTGGATGTCTTTGGGCATGATGGTGACGCGCTTAGCGTGGATGGCACACAGGTTGGTGTCCTCGAACAGGCCTACCAGGTAGGCCTCGCTCGCCTCCTGCAGCGCCATGACGGCTGAACTCTGGAAGCGCAGGTCGGTCTTGAAGTCCTGCGCGATCTCGCGCACCAGGCGCTGGAAGGGAAGCTTGCGGATCAGCAGCTCGGTCGACTTCTGGTAGCGCCGGATCTCGCGCAGCGCCACGGTGCCCGGGCGGTAGCGATGCGGCTTCTTGACGCCGCCCGTGGCCGGCGCGCTCTTGCGAGCCGCTTTGGTGGCCAACTGCTTCCGCGGGGCCTTACCGCCGGTCGACTTGCGCGCGGTCTGCTTAGTACGGGCCATGGCGAACAACAACTGCACAACACAGCGGCCGAGAGGGTATCGGTCCCGGGGCCGCAACAGCCGTCTTTATAGGCACAGTCTTTTCCCTATTGGGCGGGGCGAGAAACTTGAAAGTCCCGCGCTGGCTACCCATTGGCTGTGATGTCATCTTCCCTGGCGTGCCCGATTGGCTGGGGCAGAATCCTCCCTGCCCCCAGCCACCCGCCTCCATGCCTACTTTCCAGTATATGCCTACAGTTCTTCCTGCCTGTTTTTTCCTTTCTTTCCGGCCGAGTCGTGGTCTTTTGTTGTGTTTTTTTTTCTTGTTTGTTTTATATATACATATACATACACACATATACATATATTTTTAATCGCAACTGTTCAGATTGTTCCTCCGCAGCCCTTCACTCCCTAAGTCAGGCCACCCGCCATGCGCTCTCTTCTTTTCCACGTCCTGTAGCTCCCAAATCGAACCTCAGTCTCGGGTTTGGCCCCGGACCCCTGGTGACCTTGTTAGCTTTTCAGAGCCCCTTGGTCTGCAGGACGGCTTTTCCCGCCTTTCGGATCGCAAAATTGTCCCCGCCCCGGGCCCCGGATTCCGCCTCCGAACGCCTAAGTGGGGTCCCCTTATCTCCGCTGTTAGGGCGTCCTCTGGCTTCTGAAAAACCAGAAACCACCACCCAGAAAGAAAGCCGGCTCAGTTAGGCCAAGCCCCAGGCTCGCCAGCATCCCGAAAACCGCCTGCTCCACTCCCTCCTAGGGCCTCAAGTGCCGAGCAGAGGCCTCAGGGGGTAACTGGGGAGTTGCGCGCTCGGCGCAGACTAGGTGAAGCACTGGGGGCCGCCTAACAGGACTTGGGCGGCCTAGGGCGGCGCCCGAGGGGGTTGCCGGGTCCACCTGCGATGAGGCTTACGGCCCGGCCCACAGAGCCCGATCAAGGTGGTCCAGTGCTGCTGCACATCTCTGGGCGGTTGGGAGCCCAACGGAAAAGACATTCCCCAGCGCCGCACACGGGTGGGGTTGAAGTAGCATGTCAAACAACTGGCTACTGTAACAGCTCTTTTACTGGAAAGAGTGGGTGGCTCTGAAAAGAGCCTTTTGATTTCACAGGTGCTGCCTCTTCGAAACGGGAGCTGGGTGGGCGCCAAGTGCCGACCTCACTTGCCCTTTGCCTTGTGGTGACTCTCCGTCTTCTTAGGGAGCAGCACGGCCTGGATGTTAGGCAAGACGCCGCCCTGGGCGATGGTCACTTTGCCCAGCAGCTTGTTCAACTCCTCGTCGTTGCGGATAGCCAGCTGAAGGTGACGAGGAATGATGCGCGTCTTCTTGTTGTCTCGGGCAGCGTTACCCGCCAGCTCCAGGATCTCGGCGGTCAGGTACTCCAGCACCGCCGCCATGTAGACCGGCGCGCCGGCCCCCACCCGCTCGGCGTAGTTGCCCTTGCGCAGTAGCCGGTGCACACGCCCCACGGGGAACTGCAGACCAGCACGGGAAGAGCGGGACTTGGCCTTAGCGCGGGCCTTGCCTCCCTGTTTGCCACGACCAGACATGACGGCACTGGGCACTGCGAGTAGCTCCCGACCGACGACCGAGAAAGTCGCCCTAAACGGCCCCGCTTCAGCTTTTTATAGGCAGAACGGCGCTTGTCCAACGAACACTTTGATTGGCCACAGTGCGGCTTTGTCCCGGTGGCCAATAAGAGAGCGGAGGGAGAATCCGCTCATTTGCATGACCTCCTCCCCCCACCCCCCTCGCAAGAGCGCCACTGAAAACTCACCAATCACAAGGCAGCGTACTCAGAGCCTTAATTTGCATACATCCTCTATAAGTCCCGAGTCGCTTCCGGTAGCCTCGGTCCTGCTGTTGTCGTGTTTGCGTTCCTGCTCTTTTCCTCCGCTCGTGCATCCCGCTATGCCTGAGCCGGCCAAGTCCGCTCCCGCGCCCAAGAAGGGCTCGAAGAAAGCGGTCACCAAAGCCCAGAAGAAGGATGGCAAGAAGCGCAAGCGCAGTCGCAAGGAGAGCTACTCCATCTACGTGTACAAGGTGCTCAAGCAGGTGCACCCCGACACGGGCATCTCGTCCAAGGCCATGGGCATCATGAACTCCTTCGTCAACGACATCTTCGAGCGCATCGCCGGCGAGGCGTCGCGCCTGGCGCATTACAACAAGCGCTCCACCATCACCTCCCGGGAGATCCAGACGGCCGTGCGCCTCCTGCTGCCTGGCGAGCTGGCCAAGCACGCCGTGTCTGAGGGCACCAAGGCGGTCACCAAGTACACCAGCTCCAAGTGAGCCCCTCCTGGGACGCGGCGCTCGCACGAGTCGCCGGCCACTTAACCCCCAAAGGCTCTTTTCAGAGCCACCTACCTTTTCAGTGAAAGAGCTTGTGTCACTGGTTTCACCCCGATGTCTCCACCCTGCTTTCCCGTGCCACCTACCCGTTTCCCGGTGACAGTCATGTCTTCTGAGAGGGACGGGCAAGGTACCCACGAAACAGAAGGCCAGCTTTTATGAAGCTGGCCGGAGAACTATCTGGAAGGACGTGTTCATTCGCATCCAAGTGAACTGCCTCCACAGTAAAAACGTCGAACGATGCCTGGTCCTCCGTGTATTGAAGTCCATCTAAGGAGGAATATTGGGTCGGGAGGCAGGGCTGGCTGTGTGGCATTTAGGTCAGGTCAGTGCTTTGCAACGCGCTTTTTCTGGGGCTCTGGAACCTTGACTACGGAATGTTACTGTAAAACTGCAAAGCGGTTTATCGAGCCCACGCCTCAACACCCACAGCAAACTTTTCCGGTGTGCTCGGACACCTTGATTTCGTGGTCGAAGTAAGTTTTAGTTACACACTCCTCTCTGTCTCAGTTTCGCATTCCTTTCAGGTACACACAATCAATACATACTATTGCTCTGCTTCGAGAAGTGAACCGCCGTCAGATTAAGGTCACAGAAAGGCTACTGTTTTTTAATCTTTTTTTTTTCACTTGGGCTTTGATACCTACACAGTTCCCCATAATTGTAGGGTTTTTTTGGGGGGGGTGGGGTTGCTGTTGTAACACAATCTGGATTTGGAAGACAGGAGGAAAGGGGATTTCTAGATGTTCAGGGACCTCATGAACCTGTGCCAGCTGGTCGTAAAAGCGTCCTCCAGAGACTTCCAACAGCAGTCTTTCATCTTAACGCTACTCGGCCTTAAAAACGTTTGTCCCTTGCCGGGAACAGTTCATCCTCTCTGCCAAAATAGAGGCCCTAGACATTCGAGAGTCATACCGAGGCCCTCTCTGTTTTTGAGACTAGCTGGCTCCAAAGAAGCGTTTCCTAAAAGCGGTTCACAGGCCATTAGACGTATGGATGAAAAACCCCACGGACAGCCACTGAACCCACATCACTGGGGCACTGGTGGTAAGAGGCAAGGAGGACGGACCTATGCGACACACCAGGTGATTCACGGTTGGTAACCACTGACGTGTTGCTTTTGCAGTTGCCATATTCCTTGGTAGGATCCTCTTCACAGTTTTGAGTCACGACCCCAGACATTGTCTCCCCTGTTTCCCTGACTGTCCTTTCCCAGAATTGTTTGTAACGCTACGTACAAAACTAGCTGCATTTCCCCTTTATTCCTTCATTAATTCAGGGCACCAAATACAGTACTTTACATTTCTACCCATATTAGAGTTCAAGAACATTTTAAAGAGGTCAAATGAGAACAGAAGGTAAAACACAAATAAATAAAGCCATAAAACTGAAACTCCCTACCGAAAGAGAAAGAAGAAAGAAAGAAAGAAAGAAAAAAGTTAAGCACCCTGCAGGTAGGTCCTACCTCATCCCCTGGCTTCGCCTCCTGGTGGTTGGTTGGTTGGTTGGTTGGTTGGTTCCCTACGTACCCACATAAAACCCCAAATAGTATCTGCCAGCCTGATTTCTCTTACTTTCTCTCTACTCCACCTAATCAAGTACGGATAACTTATTTTCTAGTTATCATACCAAATCTGTCCCTTCTGTCCGATGCTTTGTTCCGGGCCCCGGGAAACGCCTCCCTGGTTTTGCACATGCATTGCTTGGATCTATCGTGAGATGAGGCCAATGGCTGGAACTCAAGAAGTTCAGGGAAAGCATGGAGATGGGAGAGGAGGAAGGGGGGACAAAGAAAATAGGGGAGAGATTGAGTTTACAGAGTAGGAATATAACAAAAAATAAAAATGAAAAATAAAAGAAACAAACCAAACACGAGGGCTTACACACACACACAGCTTAAGAGGCTGTGTGAACAACCGAATACGCCGGGGAGGAAGTAGTCAGTATTTGGTTCTGGGGACTCTCAAATACGTGAGTAGGAAAGAAGAAAACAGCTAATCTTTCACTGACGGTGGAGAACGTGACTCGATGTAACTAAATTACCCACCAATCAGTAGTTCCGTTTAGCACCGACATTTACGCTTACACGTTTCAAAGCAAAACTGACACCTTGTTCTGGCTCCGTGATGAGTATTTGTGCACATCGCTCCCCGAAACAGGGGACAGACTTTTTTAAAACCACCTTTTGCACCCTGAGATAAATAAAACATGCTGGGGATATAGCCGTAAACAGAATAGAAAAGGTCCCTGTGCACATAAAGCTACGTCCTAGTAGATGGATGCTGAAATAAGCACGTGAAAGAAATGTATAGCAGAATGATATTAAGGGGGCAATGTGTGCTATGATGGAAAGCAGACTATGGAGTGCAGTGTGTGAACAGGTCTGATCAGTTAGTATTTGAGCAGAGGCCCAAATAAAGTAAGACAGTGAGCCATAGGATAGCTTGGAGAAGAGTATTCAAAGAGAAAAGAAAGAAGAGAAGAGAAGAGAAGAGAAGAGAAGAGAAGAGAAGAGAAGAGAAAAAAGAAAAGAAGAGAAGAGAAGAGAAAAAAGAAAAGCCAACAGGTGCAAAGGCCCTGAGGCAAGCAAAAGATTGGGGAGTTCAAGGAATACTAAATGCTAAAGCACCGTGAGCAAAGGAAAGCTTCGCAGAGAGATGACACCAGAGCGGTAGTTGATCACGTAGGCCATCGAAGGACCTCATAGGCCATTGCAACGATTCTAGCTTTTATTCTCGATAACTTGGAGTGCCCTTGGAGGATTTGGTTGGAGTAATGACATGATTTGACTTAAGTTTTCTAAAGCTCACCCAAGATGCTGTGTTAAAAAATACACTAGGAGAGCAAGAGTAGAGGCAGGAAATGTATCAAAAAGGCTACAGTAACAGCATTTCGAAAGAGAGATAGCTGATAGCAGTGGAGACGGTGAGCAGTCGTCAAGCCTGGGAAAGCCTGGGAAATTGATCGGTCAGTTTGAAAAGGCACCTGGTCCGTCCCAAATTCAGTCTAACATAATCCCAGGGACACGAGGAGCCTGCCTTTCTCCCTGTCCCTCTCCCTCTCTCTCCCCCCCCCCCCCCACACACACCCAATTACATGCTCGCCCCATGCGCTCACATGTTCTCTCTCCATAGCCATGTGGCCCGCAGCCACGGAGACTCGGCCTCGGAGCACCCGGGAACTGGCTACGCTGCCTGGATAGGAACTCTTGCCTTGACCTTGCTGAGGACACGGCTGGACTTCTTCCATGGTGGGGCGTTGAAAACCCAGGGGCCAGTGGAAATGGTGAAAGGTATTCAAGATATACATTTAAATTAACTGAATGTAGATTATGAAGTATCGAGGGCTGATTGCAAGGTTTTGGACTGAGCACGTTGAAACTGCTGCCCTCTAGTGCTATGTAAATTTGAGAAGCTTTAACACATCAAGCGGACATCTGCGATTGGCCGTTGGGGGGGTACATCTGAGGGCTCAAGGAAGAGAATGCAATGTTTCCTTTTAAGGGCAGTGGTCGTTTGGGCTATCACCTTGAAATATTTTCTACTTTTTATCCTCCTTATTGCTTCCTCAAGGAATTATTCAAGGCCATATTTCATCTGATATGTTTGTCAAGAAGTATAACTTAGTGGTTCATAGTCCTGTAATGCATAAAATAAACTATAAGATTTAATTTTCTCATTCTTTAATTCTGTCCTTGTTTTTATTAAGGAATCTATCTAATTCATTATATGGTAGTCCTGCAGTTTGATTCTGCACCGTAATCACACAGAGTATTTTAAGAATACTGATGCCTGATTGCCAGCCCTAGAAACTCAGATTTAAGGGATTTGTGGGTACAGGCTGCTCTCAGGGTACTAAAAAAATCTCCCCAGTGATGCGTGCTCACCTGCCTGCAGTGAGCAAGGAACACTGCGGATGGCTCGTTGAAACACAAGAAAGACTTACAGAGAGACAAGCTGTTTCTGTGGGGGAGTAAAAATGGAATGGCCACTCTGTCTCTAGTGGGGAGAGTACCTTGTCTCCATTCCCAAGCAGATTTTTACTGAGAAAACAGACTTAGTTTTTGGATTCACAGTCTGGCAGAAAAGATCAAAAGAAGTAGGTGACTTACAAAGGTGCAGACAGAACTCCTGCTGTGATTCTGGACAGAGATTGGAGTTTTAACATACTAATGGACTACAGGTTCCAAAGGTTTCCTGTCTGTGCCTTTAAGTTCCAAGTTAATAGCATCCTCCATCAAACAGATCTCACAGGATCTTGCATATTCTATGTCCCAGGCCTGATTACCCCGGGGGTCCATCGTTTCTGGTCTGGGCTGCACCGCCCCTGCACATCTGAGTTCACAGAGGAGACAGAGGCAGGCAGGAGACTTGGGTTTCTCACAAGGACTCAGGCTTTGACAAAGCTGAGGGGGCAGGGGTTGATGTTGATCACCCCTTCATTTCCACAGCCCCAGGAGTCTCTTCCCTTAAGGCATATCCACATGATCGCATCTGTCCTAG